TGGATCTCTGACTGGATAGCCTCTAAAGATGAGTCATTCTTTCGCCGCGGAATTCGCTTACTGTCCGAAAGATGGGAAAAAGTTATCGCTAACGATGGACAATATTTTGATTGATGTACTTTTTTATTTTCTTTTTAAATAAAACCATACTTTTTGCAAAAAAACGGACGGAACTTTCCGATTTAGCTAATAAGAACGATGGCACAACTTGTACTATGGAGTCCACTCTTATAGTAAAGTGAAGTGTTACTTTTTGATTAATGGAAATTAGTATTACAATAGTAATCCGTTCCATTTGAATATGTACAGAAAGATGGAAATGAATATAGCTCCAATAGCATAAGGTGCTTGAAGACATTCTGGAATATTAGACGTCTAGAATGACTCTAGGATGATTCTGGAACATCTTGTGTTATTTGGAAGCTAATTAATTTAGAATGGTATGACACTTTTATGATATTATCTTTACTAAAAATATTTTTACGAAATATATAATTATAATATTTTTAGGAGCATACTTTTACAAATTAATTGATATTTGAGTAATAACTTTTGTAATCTTTGCATACAATTAAATACTGTTAATGATATAACAGTTACTGATATAATTGTTAAATTATTGTGTTTACTGGGATTTATATATATAATAGAATGCCTGTCTCTGTGTTTTCTATTCTAACTCCTTAAATCTTCAGGCTGGTCGGGACCAAATTTTGCATGGTTACTCTGCGAGAAATATAGGCTACATGAAACTTGAACACCTCACTCTCTCGCCCTAATTTCACCCTCTTGACACTTTGTCATAATTTCAGTTTAATATTAATTACGCGATTATCGTGAAATCAATCGAATGAAAGAATTCGTTAAACAATTGAGCATTATAATTTACATTTGTATAATTTACATTTGCGCGCGCGTATAATTTGAAAGAATATTTTTGTCCTGTGTGTCGCTAATTTCACATTCTGCGTCCTCCTTTTACCGAAAATTCTCGGTAGTCCTCCGGTTTTCAGACAGTTAGTATCGTTGATGTTTGCATTAATATTCTTTTTTCTTCACTTTCAGCACAGAATTATTTACAGATAAAATATTGTTTGAAAATCATATTGCGATTGTTTTGGTAGAGACATCCTCCTTACACACATTCGTTAGACCCACACTCATGACAGAGACTCGACAAAAATTGTCTAACGTTCTATTCGCCTGATAATCGTGTCAAACATTCTTTCAAATTCTATCATGGTGTTCTTTTGGAGCTCGCTGTCGAGAACTACCACTCGTTTCATGCGCACCTGGCCTGCGAAGAGACTGTGAGAGTCCCCTGGGATAGGAATTCTCGAAGAATGCGAGAGATATTCCGACAGACCGGACGAGACGGGAAGTCGGTGAAAACAGGAACGCGGAAACGAATGTCGCGACGGCGGCGCGTAATACGTTCCTGATACTCACCAAACTATTCGCGTTGCAAAACGAGCAACAAGTCTCTCGTTGCTCCGACAAACATTCGCTCAGCTCATCACGACGAGGAGTAGAGAAAGAAAGGAAAGCATTTACATGAGATAAGTTTTAATTAATGGACAACCCTTATGAGAGAAATATTACTTGCGTTGTTCTAAATCGAAAGTCGCCTGGAGGAGTAGATCGAAAGCCAATCGCGGCAGCGATTTCGCACAAAGGGCAAAAATTATGCTGGTCGAAACTGCAATGGGCCGTCCAAAACCAATCGCCTGTCGATAGCTCGTCAATCGAGAATTCAAGCGTACGACCAGCCGCGTATTAGGCGAACAGATTTCGGGGTAGGCGTTTAGCGGCTCCCCCACCAGTTCAAAACCACGTGACGCCTCGTCCTTGCAGGATCAGGCTAGTAGTATTTTAGGCGGATGGCACGTGTCCTCCTACTCCAAAAAATCTCGTGCTTCTAATATCGCCAGTATAATATCGCGGAATATAAAATGCAACGATCTTTTAGGCACTTTTCTTATCGAATACGTGAAATAATTTCGATACATTTCTTAACATTTTTTGTGCGAAAAAATTATATTGCCAAGTTGAAATCAATGGTCTTTTTTGTTGGAGATTTCTCGCCGTACTCCGAATACGGTAAATGCTGAAGTTTTAGGTTGGACAATCGTAATTTAGTTGTAATCGTAATTGGACAATCGGAATTCAAAACCGATCGGTCTTGATTCAGGATTATTTTATTATTTTATAAAATTATAATACAATTACTAATAAACTATTATCGGAATGCGGTGAAACGTGTAAATATAAAAATGGTACAATATTTTTTAAGGCCTGGTTCCAAAATTTACTTTAACTACAGTTTAATTCGTTAAAAGTCTCCCCTATTTAGACAAACTTGCATAATCACATATTGCATGAGGAAATTAACCAATCATGATCCGAGCAGTAAAAAAGAATGTCTCTTATATTAAGTATATTCTGTCATTGGATTCATCTATCTCTTTGTGTATATAAATAATGCGATTATGCGAGTTTTTTTAGATAAGCCTTTAACGAGTTAAACTCCGGTTAAAATAACCCCCGGGTCCACAACTGTTTTCAGTCGATTGTTTCAAGAATAATCGAATGTAATTGATCAATTTGCTTGTGGTTTAAAGCAAGGTTGTGGCTTATGTTGTGGGATTGGACCAAAAGTTGGAGTGCAAAGGACATGTGCGTAAAGCATAACAAATGCGAGAGAAAAAATAATTCATATATAAGTGTGTGCGCCACACTCATATTCTCGTGTCAATATCATGGCATCTTATCATCTGAATTGTTGTACCGAATGTAACAACACTCTAACATCGACTGCATCACAGTTTTACAAGGAAATCTCGTCAAGTCCTAGCAAGACTGAATCTTGAGATTCAATTGAAATTGGCGCGACTCTCGTATCCCTGAAAGTCTGATATCTAATCGCACAGCTCACGGGCGATGATCGAGTGATTAGCATGAGCGGATTAATTGTGCGTCGCACAGAGAACACTTTGTAGAACGATTATCGGAAAAGTCGCGTGGGAGTTACGCCAACTGTTGCTTCAGGCCGCGTCGGGACGCTGCGCGTCGATACAAATTTGCCGCGGCGGGGGTGGCAGCTGCGGCGGCGTCGGCGGCGGCGTCAGCGGCGTCGCGCGCCGATAGATTGGATACATCGATACACCGGTTGTATCGCTGACGTGGGGGTTGGCGCGGAGGGGGCCAGGGGAAGGAACGACAAAAAGTGTAACGACAGCACGCGACGAGCTGGGCTGCACACACAGCTCTTGCGGCGGGCTGCGCCCCTAGGATCCCGAGACGCGTTGTGTCTTTCGAATGGCGAACCGACGCACGTCGCGGCAAAAGAACGGCTGTCGAGAAAGACGCCAATAACGATGGAGGAGGAGGAGACGGTGGCGGCGGCGGTGACGGCGGCCGCGGAGGTGGTAGTAGTGGTGACGATGACGGTGGCGGTGGTGGCGACGACGGCAGTCGCAGTGACGGTGTCGCACCGGCCGATCAACGAGAGCAAAACGAGCATACGAGCTCGCAAGACGCGAGTCGGCCTTTCCTGATTCTTCGGTCGACACGACAAAAAATGCCATGCCCCCTTGGCTCGCCTCTTGGCATAATGGGGCGCCATGAGCGAGCGCTGGTTGCACATCCAGCCTCGCGGTTATTATTTCGTGGGCGTTCGCCGACCACGTGGAGCGTGAGGGGCGCGGGCGGAGGCGGCGGTGGCGGATGGTGGGAGGCCGGATGGGGTCGGCTTAGGGGGTATCGAACGAACGGCGAAAAAATGGTCGCCGCAGAGGGGGTGGCGAGGTGAGCTCGATACTGATAACCGACGCGGTGTGTGTGCGTTCGTTCGCGCGGGGGGTCAAAGGTCGCCCGCGCCATCGCGCAAGTCTCGGCCATTGCGCGAAATTCACGCGGTTTTCGACATGGTCGCGGCTCGACGCGACGCTTCTGCGACCCTGGTGCCGCGGCGATCATCAACATTCTTTTCACTATCGATCTGCTTCTTCCTTTCTCTCGTGGCTTTCTCTATGCGAACGCATTCGGCGAGCGTGACGGTCAGTTGGCTGATTGAAGGGTAAATGGGTCCATCCCTCTTGATAATCCTTCCGAACGAGGGAGCTCGGTGCGCCTTCTTGATTGCGATTACTCGGTGAAATTGAATAACGCGATTTATTATGTACTGGATATCGAGAAAGTCGACTTTGAAGAAGTTATTTCGAGTATTCTTCAAATCGTATTTCACTGTCTGGATTTATCCTCATACGTATGTTGGATCTTCCATCTTTTTACAGGAGGTGGACCGAGATTGTACGGAGAGAATTTAATAGTGTGAAAATTACCGCAGGATTTTGTAACCAAGGAATAGATTTACATTCTATAATTCATGTTTGCTGTTTATACATTCTGTCAAATAAATATGCAATTGAAACACTTGCTATGTTTACAGCGAAATCTGTTATGTTTTTTAACGAAATTAATTAATGATGTAAGATGAATATTACTGACAAACAATCTATTCCTGGACTACTAAAAATATAGCAAAATTAGAAAAAAAAATTATATTAAAAAGTATAATAATATTCTCTCCGTTTGTACATATAAGACGTTTATATAATTTTATATACATGTTACTACTACTATCTTCGTGTTGGAACAACCAAAAAATATAGTTGGCACTAAATTAGGTTCAATTTCCAACACGAAAATAGTAACATGCATATAAGGTTATTATCATTAAAATTATAGTGCAATTGACTAAAAAATGGTTGTCTTGACCATAATTTATAGTAATTATTTCTCTATATGATTATAATTACAAATACCAAACATTTTTCTCTCAGTGTAGACACCTTGAAGACGTAAAAAATTATTTGAGAAAAATTCTAATCGGCACGATAATTATGACAGTGAGACTAATTATTAGTTGTCTGCGAAATGATTCGTGGATTAATTAATTAGTTTTGAGTAATAAAATAAGGAATACGTTTGTGTTACAGGCGTGAGTTACGAGGATGCTTTAAGGGACGGCGTGTTGCTCTGTAAGCTCATGAACAAACTGCAGCCTGGCTTGGTTTCCAAGATCAACACCTCCGGCGGAGATTACAAGATGATGGACAATCTTAATCAGTGAGTATTATTACAAAATAATTTGACATATTACAGACACTCGTATACTGAGAAAAAAATGTTTAGTATTCGTAACTATAATCATATAGAGAAATAATTACTATAAATTATGCTCAAGACAACCATTTTTTAGTCAATTGCACTATAATTTTAGTGACAATAATCTTATATACATGTTACTACTACTATCTTCATGTTGGAACAACCAAAAAATATAGTTGGCACCAAATTGGGTTCAATTTCCAACACGAAAATAGTAACACGCATATAAGGTTATTATCACTAAAATTATAGTGCAATTGACTAAAAAATGGTTGTCTTGACCATAATTTATAGTAATTATTTCTCTATATGATTATAAAATAATATAACTAAAAAACTCTTCTTGAGTATATCAACATTAAGCTAAGGACAATTAGAGTTCACGCACAGGTTGTATAGTGCTATTATAAACTATTAAAACATAGTGACACAATCTCGCCATGAGAACAAATTTTATTAAATATCATACGCGTTTCGGTCTCATTTCACAGACCCTCTTCAGTGATTACAAATAATGTTATAGTGTCGCAAAAAGTAAAAAATCGCAAAAGTTAGCGTTAACATTGGTTGTTACAGAATTGTCGCTACAAATTTTTTTGTCTACGGAATTCGGAAGCACAAACATAATATATCATTTACACAATGAAATGTTCCATTTATATATATATATATATATATATATATATATATATATAAATATAATTACAAATACCAAACATTTTTCTCTCAGTGTAGCCACCTTGAAGACGTGAGAAATTATTTGAGAAAAATTCTAATCGGCGCGATAATTATGACAGTGGGACTAATTATTAGTTGCCCGCGAAATGATTCGTGGATTAATTAGCGCGACGTGTCGCGACGTTTATACTGATAATAAGATTTGCAAAAGAGACTCGTTCGCGAGAGGTAGTGTCTGTCTATCATGTTGCTCCGCCGTCAGGCGTGTCGCACTTTCTGCGAGCACATGCTGTCCTGATCCGTCGTCGACTTTACGCAATCGACAGTGTTTTGCGTCAATTTCTCGACTGCAGAGTATCGACAACGCCGATCAACGACCGTCGCCGCAGTCGAGAGATTGTTGACCCTCCTTTCGACTGCACCGAGTTTCGAGAGTCACGCGATATCCATGGCGAAACGATAGGCGCGAAACGTTCTTTGCATTCGCGCTGTTCCTCCTGGTGCAGCGTGTTCGCCTAATAATCGAGAACCGACTGAGTCTGAGGTCGGGACCGTCGACTATACGTTGGATGGAGCGCGATGAAAGTGAAAACGCGACTGATATATACAGCTACGTGGCGTAGGTATCGCAAAACGCGCGCGAGACCAGCGTGAAATTCGTGTGCATTTTCCGACACCTTCGGGAACGGGTTCAGCATCACGCGCGTAAAATTAGCGTAACGTAAACTAAATTAGCGTAGCGATTCGTATAATGATTGATTGCGGTTGAAAAATTTAGTTTTCCCGAAACCTCGCCGACGAGATATGGTTAGCAATCGTCAGTCGCGCAAACTGTCTCGTCATAAGTTCTGAGTATGAAGTGTTTCTATGTTTTCTCAAAAGTTCGGCCTTTTTTCCTTTGACTTCTCTACACGTTTTCTTATTTTCATCGGACACACAATGTCAAGCGAGACATACATCTATTTATGACAAGTTGCAATCCGAAAATAGAATATTCGAGTCGAATGCCTGCAGCACATTGATACAATCCTGATGAAGTATTTGTGTACGAGGAGGTGGTTTTAGGACAACATAAAGAAGTGCACCCTCGACGGGAATGAGCAGCAGTAAACTGCGCTTCTGCATCTAATCTTCCTCTTCGTCGCTTGGATAAGTCGGATTACTTTCCTCCAAGCTCACGAAGGTATCTCGCGCAATGAGCCCTTTTTACACGTCGATCAGACTTGCTTCCCTTACCAGCACCTCTTTTTGACGATGTAGAATTCGCAATTGAAGCGATCTCTCGCGAAATAACATCGCAACGTTATATATAATCGTCACGATACGCGAAAAAGCGCGCGCGAGAAATTTATAAAAAAAAATCTTACAGAGACGATTCATCCCTCAAAAACATGTGCGCCATCGTGTTTGGTCAGTTAACGCTGTCTGCGCGTCAGACCCGAGTTCAGTCTTCAGATTTCTCTGTAACATTCAAGAAATGTATCTTCTCGTTCGTGCAATTAACTACACGATTTAATCACTCTTGGTAATTAGCTTTGGCTAATGCTTCACGATTTGATGAATCTTGAACTGGATCTTGGTGAATGTTAAGGCGATCCAATCAACCTTGAACTTACGCCGGCAACTTTTTGTACTGAAGGAGATCTGCTCGCGCGGATGCGGACGGACCGAACGGCGTTAGTGCACCGCGGATTGTGGCCGCACGCTCCTCGACACCTCCCTGGAGGAGGAGGACGCACGCTCATTTCGCGTCGTCGTTCGCGCCGTCGTTCTCGCCGACGGCGGATCCTCGCGCGTTGCCGGCTACACGTGCGCATGTCGCGCTTCTTCAGCATTTGGCGCGTTTTGAATGTTTAAGAGCGCTTTCGTGAGGTAGTGGGGCGAACGATGCGCAGCGCGGCCACTCCGCGTTACTCCCTTTCTACGCGAGCAGCATGATCTCGGTGAAGGTGATATCGCCGCCGCCGCCGCCGCCGCCGCCGCTGTCGCCGCCTCCGCCGCCGCCTGCGCGACGCGTTCTCTCCGTGAGCGTTTAAGATTACGTGTGGTGAGAGCTCCGCAGTCCGTCCGCTCTCATTGTTACTTCACCTTCATGCGCCTCTGATAGCGCGAACGCTCGTAAGCACTGACCTGCCTTGCGTTCTCCGCCCGGCGATTGTCGCGCGCACTCGCGCGCTTGATCGATAGGAAAGCTACTACCTTCGCCGGGCGAGTGTGCAACTGCACATACCACATGTGTGAATCTCGATTGAGAAATGTTATTAAATCGCTCTGCTTATCGTGTGACACGGCCTTACGTCAGACGTGTCAAATTGCTTAACTTCGAAGTGACCACGTGGCTGATAAGTGATCAAACTTTGTCTTTGTCTCTTCCTAGCTCGCTTTGACGATGAAATTCGCGATACCGACGATTTCCTTGGAACTGATACTGATGTAATACGATGAAAAATATGTAGAGAATGGAGTACATGAAGATGCATATAATGCTCCATGAGACTGTCCGTGTTCTTCCTCGAGACGCGACAGTTTGAAAATTAAAGTTAACAAGGAAAAGATATCGTTAACGAATGACAACTGGTTTTGCTAAAAACGACTTTTATTTTCTACTATATAACAGTTACAAAATTTATTTTATTTTTATCTATTTATTATATTTTTATTATATGTAGTAATTACAAAATTCATTTTGCTAAATTATTTTGTTAATAAATTAATTTTTCGTTATATAATAATTACAAAATTATCTGCATATGTTTGGAAAAATGCGCTTATGTCATTTTATTTGATTTTTAAAAAACCTATATTGTTAGGTAATAGATTAACTTATTTATACACGCTGACGCATAGATAACGTGTGTCTTAGTTTAAGATTCACTCTCGCTCTCTGACGTAAATGTATGCGATTAATCGCTATGTTATTTGGTGCTCATATACGGAAAACGCGTCAAGCGTCAGGAGCGCATCAGATTGAGCAAGCTGGAGCATAACAGTAATAAAGTTACGTGTAGATAAAAAAATATTAACATCTCGCGCACATCAAACACTTTTTTATACGTGGGAGCATTTCATACTTATATCTCGGATTTATCTTTTAAAATGAAACGAAGACACTATAAAATCGCACTTCTAATAAATTTTTTTCTTTAAAGAAAGAATTAATATAAATGGAAAAATAAAAAATATTTTAACAGAGAATTAGAACAATATATTACATCAAATTGTATTCTCTCTTTCTGATATTGATTATATCTAATCATTTTTTATTAAAATGACAAGTGTATACATATCTAAACCCTCGCGTTTAATATGCGTAAATCGTAACTTTAGTAGTCTGGCATTATTTTCGTCTCACGAGAGGCGATGTTCTCTTCAGGCAGACGATGATTCTGCTATCCTGTTAAGCAGCCGCACGCGACACGTCATTTCTGCGACATGAAGAAGGCACCGCCTCGACGCGCTCTCAGATAGCGTATATCCGCAACCCGTTAATTACCGTGTTCGATAATTAGCAGCCAAACAATAGAAGCGCGTCGCTAGCTTAAAGCAACGCCCAGGCGAGCAGCCGTATGAAGGAGTTGGACGTAGCAGCTTCTCTTTTGTTTCTCCCCCGCCTTTGTCTTCCCTCCGACTCGCCGCATTCTCGATGGCGTGTCTCGAAGAGCCTTTGTCGTTACGGGAATACCAAACAGTATTTCGTATTCACTCTTGAAATATTTTTTTCGTTAATTCTAAATAAAACGCAAATCCATTCACTGTAGATCTCATCAACTGATTTCGGACTCGTATGTTACACCTAGTGAAAATATTGACCAACACTCAGTTGTATGAATAAAAGCGTAATATATAGTGCAATATAAATTAATTTTTAAGATTATAATTTACGATTTTTACGTTGTGTGTGTGTGCTTCATACTTCTCTAAAAATCTTGTCGATTATGTAAAACTAAAATGTAGTTATTTCAATTTGCAGGTTCCAGAAGGCTTGTGTGAAGTACGGAGTACCTGACGTCGATCTCTTCCAAGCTGTCGATCTGATGGAACGTAAGAACATCGCCCAAGTAACAAACACTATTTTTGCCATAGGACGAACGGTAATTTATCAGTACAAATTATCTATTAATTTATTATCTCTGATATATCGATGATGGTCATATATTCTTCTATTTTTGCAAATTTATTTAAGAATTGCTTTGAATCTCTCTCTCTCTCTCTCTCTCTCTCTCTCTCTCTCTCTCTCGCAAATAGACATCAATAATGAATGCAAAAATTTGTGTGTAATTCTGAAAAAATAAATGGATTTTATATGAAAATAAGGATATTTCAACGCAAAAAATTATTGCATATTTAATTATGTTAAGTAGGGTAATTGTAAATAAGATATAGTATATACTCGTATTTCTTATGTTAACTATAATTTACAGACCTACAAACATTCTGAATGGCGCGGTCCTTGGTTGGGGCCAAAACCGGCCGAGGAGAACAAAAGAGCTTTCACGGAGGAGCAGCTAAGGGCTGGTGAAGGGCTCATCGGTCTACAAGCTGGTACTAACAAAGGAGCGACTCAAGCGGGGCAAAACTTTGGGGCCTCGAGAAAGATACTTCTTGGAAAATAATTTATAGAGTTTGCACTTTTAAAATCTCTGTTAGAGGTATATTTTATTCATAAAAAATAATCTTTTAAATGGATGTATACGTAAAAATAGTGCAAAGTTACGTAATTGAAAGCGTTACATTTAGCCATACATGTTTGAAGCCGTACACTTGTGAAAAAAAGAAACGGTATTTTACAACATTTCGATGATTACACGCGATTGAAAATTTTAACAATACATTGAGGAACGTGACAAATAATATAAATGCATTAACGTTAGATATGCTAATTTGTGTTTAATAGAATAATACCCATTTAACATGTGACATAATGTATTTAACGAAATGTAATAAACATTGTATGACAATTTATCGACAAAATTTCTCGTTTCTAGTTTATTGCCACGAAGCTGGACAATTTGCGTCCTTCTCGGATTCACCGAAATTAACATCGTAAGAAGAAATATCTCAGTGACTACTCTGCCTCAAATCAACATCCTGTCCGAGCTCCACTTCGAATTAGCCGAATAATACGACTTCTGCAGTTATTTGCATCTCCAAGAAGTAACACGCAATTCGCCGAAACTCTTCTCTATTCTTTGATGCGAGGTTTAACGTGAAGGGCCGGATATCGAGAAGGGGATGGCTGGTTGACACGTGTCTTCCAAGCGCCTGTTCCAGGGTTGAGCGGCTATTCTTGGCGCGAGATTCCTAGAGCGGATCTTGTCGCTCTTGCTAGTTTCCTGGCAACTCTCGCTTGGCTGCCGACAATCGTTCCCCTATCGCGGTTTCTGTCGGCGTCGTTGAACATCGCGCCTGGCGAACCGCTGGAACACGTACGTACGTACACGTCGCCGCACGCGCGCGTGTCGTGCGACCGACAACATCGCAGACGCGAAAATCGCTCGTCGTACATACATATCGATGTACGTACGTGCGCAGGTGACGGGCCGCGTATGCGACGGTACGGACCTCGTACGTGACAGGAACGACGAGTGGGCGTGACGTGTACGTACACGCGTTACACGCATTCCTTGACCGGTTTCTACACCGCGAGGCTCCCCGTGGATCAGGCGAGTATCTGCCCCGAGATAGAATATCTTCCGCTGATCCGAAATTGCGCTCAGTTTTTCTTTTCGCGCGCATTCCATCGTCGCATGAGCGGTGAACTGTCCCGCTGAAGACGCCACCGACAGAAACCTAAGTAGTGGATGACGACGGCGAACTATTTGTTGCTGTTTCGTAAACAAATCTCATCAGAATAATGATTTATGTGAGATAATGTATCACATGTACTACCGTATACGACGATCCTCAGCGAATGGTCAAGCGTCATCGTCATCATCGCGATTGATTCAAGATGTTAGGAAAATAGAATATCTATTCCTTACGTCTGCCTTATGTGTCAATATCTCGTTTATGGATTCTGATATTTGCTCCTCTTTTCTTGCCGTTATATACTGTTCAAAATATAGTTAGACGATTACTTCTTCAAATCACTTGGCACATGTTTTAAATATCGGAAGTGTCTATTTTAATTCTTCAGCAAATGTCCACGATGTCCAATAGAATCTGCATTTCAGTCATTTATACGTGGCTCAAGCTGCAGAACCATTCAGCACAGAGCTATCCGTTCACCGCGATATCCCGATTGTTTCGAGCGATTTCATTTCAAGGTGTGTTGGCTGGCCCATGTGGTGCTCCTTCACGTGCTCAATGACGTGTGGTTTGGCGTCGGTCGTGGGGCAGGCCAGTTCTTGGGGACCCCCTGGCGTAGGATAGTAGCGTAACGAGGAGGTTGTTCGCGTCATCTCGGCAGCTCAGCGACACCGCGGACGCCCTGGGACAGCCTCCAATCATCTTATGCACTCCTCTTGAAAGGGGAGCGCTGCGGAGTGGCCGCTCCGCGCATCAGTGCGCCCCACTATTCTTCACGCACTCGCAAACCGCGTACATACGAACGTGACGCGCGCTCAGCTTTGCGCTGAGCGCCGTCTCTTTCGATTGATTTTCTGCCATCATGTGACCACAGTACCTGTATTTCAACTGCGGTCTCTCGATGGTACCTCGAAACTCGAATTTTCTATCGTTTTCCAAGCACGAGTGAGTTACCGATATTGGTACAATAGTTACATTACAATACAATGCATTGCATTACAATGTCCGTTGTGCGATTGGACTGTTGATAGGAATACTACAACGCAATGCGAATCACCTGTTCTATTTTTATTTATTTAATAGATTTCTTTCTCAAAACACGCACTGTGCAAGTGGCTGCATGGAAGATGTTGGGTGCGATCGCACTCGCAATGAGACCTTGCGGTTGTTTTGCTTCTTTTCATAGAAGTAGTTGAGTCATGTTGTGTAAACGAGAAGATACGTTCTTCAAGTTTTACACGGAAATTCGACCGCTGAGTATATGCGCACCGGACAGCATCAATGTATCCGATTGTATATACGTGTACAAGAGGCAGTTGCAATAGTCATACGCATCTGAGAGACTCACGACTCTTTCGTACTCCTGATAACCTATTCGTATGGAGTTCATTGGTACGTTTCCACGAGGCTCCGTGCTGTAGCACCCGATTCGAACGAACGCGAATGACCCGCAATCTTGTTACTCTACTTTCGCGATCTGCGGTGACTGTCTAAACGTTCATGATCTCCCAGTAGAAGGTCGACTCTAGTCGATCGACAAAAGTATTTCGCTACCAATCGCTTGGATGGCGAAGACTTCCGTTGTGCGTGGCAAATAATCCGGACAAAATTAAATTCTAACAGGAACTGCCGAACTAATCGTCCAATCTCACATAGTCTTCTTCGAAGTTTTCAACGTTGGCCTATAAATTCTGTGTCGTCTCTTCCATCACTTCTGAAACACGAAACTTAATTATCTAAGAGACATTTACAAATTGTCTCCCCGCGACTGTTACGACTCTTCTTCTTCGACGAAGAACGTGTCGGAAATAGAAAAAAGAACAGAGAGAATTCTATTCTTTTTTCTATTCTAGAAATAAACATAAGCTACAGGGACTAAATTTGGATTGTATGGATATAGAGACAGAGAAACTCGAAGAAAGAATAAAACTGGAAGTATGTTCTTGAATAAAGTTAATGTATGTTGTACGACTCTGGGGTTCAATATAACCGAGCCCGCAGTATGGATTAGTAATAATGCCGCTCGAAGCGCGTGCTGTATATTCCACTTCTCTCGATTGTGCCTATGAATGTATATGTCAAGGACTTTCCATTGACCCGGACGATTGCGTTAATAAGACGACTGATTTTTCTGAAGAGAGAGGAATGAGAAGAATCCGACACGTGCGACGGTTTCTCACACGTGGGAGAAGCTATTGTTAGACTGAGCTATAAATTTTGATTCAAGTCGTTTTGATTTGATTTGTCAAGAAAAAATTGCTTGCAAATTAACTGAAGTGTCTGTAAACTAAATATTCGCGACGTTGTCTTATTAGATATCCTGCACAACACAGTTCATAATGCATAACATTTTCTTATCGTGTTACGTCACATCAACAGGATGATACGTGTCTCTTTAATGCGCTCTAATATGCTTATGTAAATGATTTAATGCCATTCAAGCACGCATCTCGTCAACTAACGTCGAGCTTCGCGCGGTCTCAGAGTCTCGATACGATTTGCTCTATCTTGAGAGTGTCTATTTTTATACCGGCAGAGCGCGACTGATCTCGCTGCCATCTGTGAAGCGGCACGAAATGCTACACGCGAGCAAGGATATTGGTGTGTGCGCGACCTCGACTCCGGATTTGTGTGCTCCACAAGAAATGGATGGTAGTTTCTATGATGTGCGCGACAAGAGGTATTTTTTTTACATACGTTTACTACGCCGTACCGAGTTTGCTAATTGTCAGTTGTTGTTGCACGGTGTGTGAGGTGGTTCACGTTGCATCGTGATCGTTGTGTGCATCGGTGTCATGAGATGTTGTTGCTTTTATAACATTATTGTACCTCGTCGTTTTATTTTTGTGCAGTCTCGTAAGAATGAACAATGATTTTCTCAAAGAGTGTTGATTACATGTCAAAAGTGCAAGTAGCAGTTGATCGCGAGAAATCGGATTTTTTTGCAAGAAGCGACATTATCAATATGCTTTTGTATTCAAGCAGGTGAATCTACTACGTCGCTTGGACAGTATGTCAATTTGGATACACGTCTGTCACTTTGTTTACAGGTAGGTACATATCGGGTTTAGCCGTAGAGTTTTCGGACTGTGCTAGAAAATAGGAGGTCAAGAGAAACGCCAGTTGTGCCTGATAGCGGAGTCTTGTACAATATGCCTTCCATTTGCGGCGATATGGGTGATATGACTGGTAATTTGAAACCTCTGTTATTATCATATTATGTGTAATATAACAGCTGTACAAATACACTCAACATATAATAATAATTGTGCACAGCTGCTTCACAATCAGGTATCATGGAGGGTATTTCCAGTACAGATAGTATTGGGACACAGAGTGACATATCGGGACACACAACTGTGACAGGAAGACCAAGAATGGACGTGGCTTGTGTATTGGACTTGCAACAAGCAGAACATCTTGCCCAACGAAAGAGAGCATTAGATGAAGTTAGACAAGCCTGCAATTTGGTCAATGCTAACATACATCATATCCAGGTATATTGTTACACGAGTTGATTATTTAAATAATGGCAGAGATCATATTTTTAAATAAGCTTGGCTTTAAGTAAAACATGCTGCAAGATCTGTTACAATATGTCTGTATAAAATTAGCTCCAAGTATATTCATTATATTATCTCAAAGATTAATAAAAGAAAATAATATATTAAACATTATACTATGCCATATTTAAACAATATCTTCTGTATATTTGTATCATAAACACCATACAAGGAATGCATGTCTACATTTGTTCTTTCTGTAATATTGTATTTTTTTATAGTTTGAGAAGCTTGATTTCGGTGAAACTAATGTACTGGATACTTTCTATAATGCCGATGTGGCAGTTGTAGATTTAAGTATCAAGTTGCAACAATCTGCATTATTTTATCATCTTGGTGTCAGAGAAAGCTTTGGTATGAAGGAAAATATCTTGCTTTATAATGATGTGGATACAGAGGCTACGATTAGACTGAAGGTATAAGTATATTAAATTATATTATTTATTATGTAGTAAACAAAAATTCACTTTTGCACTTTATTTAATAAATTCTCGATATAACGTAGTAACTCGATATATAGTAGTAGTAATAAATGGCCTTAACCACTTATTAGACTCAAAACATGTCTTGTTGTAACGATTTCAATTAAAGATCTCATAGATAGATGACCAACTGTATGTTGGCCACTACAGCATATCAAATAGTTTCGATTTTTCTCTATATTCTTAATGTTAAAAGGAGAGTATGCACTTGACAGATTTCTTGCATGGAAATTGTGTGTCCTCACAAATATCTTATTATGATATGAAAAGGATTATATTTTTTTTGGAAAATAAATTTAATAAACACGTATATAAGCGGATTTTTACATATAGCAAATATTTATAGACACATGAATTTAAAAAAAATGAGAATGTTAAAAGGAACATTAATTTTGATTACTCATTTCACTTATTTGTTATTGGTTGTCACTGTTTCAAGCAAGTCAAATTTTTTTGCTTCATCCAATTATTTAAGAACTATTCTGTAAGTTCAACTATTAAATTAACAATTTACGTTGTTTCATTTAAATTTCGTTGCATTTCGTTTCATTTAAATTTACGTTGTTTCATTTAAATTTCTATGGGATTTTTTATATTGAAAACACATAGATCTCGCGTATAGATCTCGGATTTTTATCATAGCCACCGGCAAATTAAAACGTGTTGTGCATTGAATGACGCTCGACATTGAACTGTGTCAAGCGCCAAAACGTGATCGGCACGGTCTGATAAAACGGTATCCGTGTCTGTCAGGCAAGCACCAAATATGTAATTCCGCTGTATATGGAGTAGAAAAACATGAGCTCATGCTCTTAATATAGCAGTTACTGTTGGTGCTGGCTGATCGCGCGCAACTGCGCGCAATCGCTCTGTGCGATTTGTTACTGATACACGTGGATCTCATTCGCGTATTGTTTTCGAATTGTTAATTCCATTTACGATCGTTTATATAAAATATTTTCTAAAAGTTGGTAACGTGTCAAAATGAGAAAGAGGCTGACGTTTGTACATATACGTGTTGAAAGTGTAAAATATAAAATAACCATGTGATATAATAAGTGGTAAATAGTGATGTAATATGGCAATCCAATTAAATGAATAATTGTGTGTTTGATGATGGAATATCTAAAATGTGTCAGATAGGAAATACAAATATTTTTCCCTCTTTACATGATTTAATTCATTATTATATATTTCTGATAGTATCCATGAAAGAATAGTTTATATTTTAATTAGCAATGTGATATCTGTTTTTTTTTTTTAACATTTATGTACATAGACTTTTCTTTTTAGTTATCCTGTGGCAGCTACACGTTCGTCTCGTATCGTGTTGTGGAATGTGGTTCATGTGTGGCTACTAATCCAGCAGCTAGTAGAATCACAGGCGAAGAAGCAATAGACCCTAAACAACATCTCACTCTGAAACTTAAGAAATTGTTTCAAGATGTGGAAATACAATCCAAGTGAGCAAATACGAAAATATTGTTTTATAATAATTGTCCATATAAATAACAATTGAATATGACCGTCACATATAATTTTGTTGAAAAAATCGAATTAAGATTCTTTAATATGTTGATGTGAGAAGTATGTTTCTTCTTAATTTCAGAGCACACATGAAGGAGAAATTTCTGGCAGATTTGCGCAAAGCGCGTGAGACATATTCTGGAGAGGAGCTCTCCAGGGCCTTGAATAATATGCGCAAACGTTTAGATGACCCAAATGTTTTGTCAGGAGAAGTTGTTCTTAATGTTCTTATTTCATTCCGGGAAATACAGGTAAATAACGGTAGATCGGTAATAATTTTAAGCGAGAAATTATACTATTAGAAACTGATATGCGCATTTATATTTCTTTAAAAATTTCAGGGTTATGACGCAATGGTACAATTGGTTGATGATTTAAGAACTATACCGACCCACAAGAATTATATAAATACTCCAGCTATTAGATATTTATATGCGTTTGCATTAAATCGACGAAATAAGGAGGGTGATCGAGAGAGAGCGTTAAAAGTTATCGAAAAAGCGTTAGAAAAGAAAGAGAATCATGTTCCGGATATGTTGTGTCTATGTGGCAGAATATACAAAGATATATTTGTAGAAAGTAGGCATACCGATCAGGAGAGTTTAAACAACGCGATCCATTGGTATAGAAAGGGTTTTGAGGTATAGTATTCATAAATAAGTTGATTTGATTATTTGAAACTAATATTATTTTACATGTTATAATATTATTGTTATATTTAGGTCCAACCTAATGAATATGCTGGTATAAATCTTGCTACTTTATTGGTCATAGCTGGGAATGAATTTTCTAAGAGTGAAGAATTACAACACATAGGAATGGTATTAAATAATTTAATTGGCAAGAAAGGCAGTTTATCGAGCTTGAAAGATTATTGGGATGTAGCAACGTTTTTTGAAATCAGTGTGTTAGCGGAAGATTACTCAAAGGCCATACAAGCAGCTGAATATATGTTTAAATTGAAGCCACCAAATTGGTAAGTATACAATAAGTTAGATGAAAAGTTCGATATTCGAAAGAAATATAAAGTATAAAAAATATATAAAGTATCTAGAAGTGATTTTAATTGATAGGTATCTGAAATCGACGATAGGCAATATATCACTGATAGACAGATTTCGTAAAAGAAATGAAGAAGCTGAAATTTCACCGGAGGAGCAAATATTTAGTTTTTGGATGGACTACTTTGTCGAAGCTACAAAGCCGGAGGTTGGCGATAGTATACGGTTTCCAGTAAGTTGATAAATGGAATCGTTCTACTGAGGATCCAGTTTCCAATTCGGGAGAGTATGGCTTATAGTTATGTGTTACCAATCCAGCTCTTACTACTGTACATTTCGAGTCAAAGTAAGAATAATATAAAACTGCTGTTAATGCAGGTTTATGGATTCACTCTTAAAAATGAACTTCCCGCTCTGTAATTAATCTCATAGTAGAGACGTTTGACGTTATAACATTTTTATCCTTTTAGATTCTAGTGTTGGAACCAACAAAAATCTTGATGCCAAGTTATGTAAACGTAAATCTAGGCGCAGAGGAGAAATCTATACAAATATGGAATTTGTGCCTGGATAACATGAAAAATAACTGCAAGCAAGTTCATGATTGGCTATTTACTGCAAACATGATACGTAGCGTTAGTTTGTACAAAAGAGACGAGAGATGCCTGTTCTTGTATGTTCATCAAAATTCGGACGATTTTCAAATGTATTTGCCGTCAGCGCAATGTAGACAACGATTTTACGATCTGATCTTAGAAATGACTAGAGATCAGGAAGGCATGGTTACAGACTTGGATGCCTATATGACTGACGATCGCATGAAGGTTCTGTTAATTTTTACTATAATTTTTAATTTTTAATTTTTTTTTTATATAATTTGATATACTTTGTACACGTATAATTTTAATTTTTTACTTGATACATATATTCATATTTTTATAGTTCGAGTATGAATTGGACGATCAAAATAAGCGCATAGTTCTCGGCAAAGGCACGTACGGCATAGTATATGCAGCACGTGATTTAAATACTCAGGTCAGAATTGCTGTAAAAGAAATTCGTGAGCGAAACTTGGGCGATGTGCAGCCTCTGCACGAAGAAATTAAATTGCACAGTCAATTGAGACACAGGAATATCGTTCAATACTTGGGCTCTGTAAGTGAGGATGGATATTTCAAAATCTTTATGGAACAAGTGCCTGGAGGTAGGAAAAATAATAAAATATATTTTTATAAATAAACGATAGTTGTGTGTGTATCTATTTATTACTTATAATTTCAGGAAGCTTATCAGCTTTGCTGAGATCAAAGTGGGGCCCTTTAAAAGAAAACGAATCAACAATTTCATATTATACCAAGCAGATGTTGGAAGGCCTTAAATATCTCCATGATCAGAAAATTGTTCATAGAGACATAAAAGGTATATCATTCTTTTCCTGCAGTATCTCTTTATTTTTATATATTTTCGCGCAAATTTTAAATGAACGTATTATTTATAGGTGACAATGTGTTAGTAAATACATATAGCGGAGTTGTCAAAATTTCTGATTTTGGTATGTCAAAACGTTTGGCCGGTTTATGTCCGAGTACGGAAACATTTACCGGGACATTACAGTATATGGCACCAGAAGTTATTGATAAGGGTCAACGTGGCTATGGTGCGCCTGTAAGTTTGCCTTTAACTTCGGAATATTTATAAGATTTAGTTCTGTCATGTCATCATAATAACAATAATTCAAACTTTGTCTCTAGGCGGACATTTGGTCTTTAGGTTGCACGATAGTTGAGATGGCAACTGGCAAGCCTCCATTCATAGAACTAGGTTCTGCGCAAGCGGCTGTTTTTAAGGTAAATATAAAATATACTACATTAAAAATTAAAAGATTTCCTTTCTAGACCACGAAAAATAGATAAGATTAAACGGCTTGTAATTCTTCCGCAAAAATAATAATGACGTGGTTAAAGAAGGATCTTACAGCTTGAAGTTTCAATAACAGTTTAGAGATACTTTCTCTTAGTCTTTTATAGAAAATAGACAAAATTCAACAAACTGTAAAATGTCGATAAAAATGGGGATAATGGAATAATTAAAAAATTACTTTATTTTTTTAATTCTTTTGGATAACGTAATTTTTGCCAAAGTTATAGCTTGTTGGATTTTCCGTGGTTGAAGAAAGTGATTCCTCAATTTTTTTGCATAGTATATTAAATATATATCACTTATTAATTTTTTTATTACTAAATAATGTTTTAAATAAATCCATATCTTTTTGCAGGTGGGATATTACAAAATACATCCCGAGATACCATCAGAATTATCGGAGAGAGCAAAATCTTTTATATTGCGCTGCTTTGAACCAAACCCAGATGTAAGAGCAACTGCGGCAGAATTATTAGAAGATCCATTTCTTAATGAGTATATAATCTTAAATTACTTAAAGTATTATTTTTTTATGAATCTTAAAAAGTATGTGATTAAAGCATTTATGTTATAGGAAAAAGAAGAGTAGCAGATTGGCTGCACCCCCGGACTTCAGCAGAAGTATATCGGTTCCCGCGGACCGTTTGGAACGTTTGGGAAAATGTGATAAAACGAACAATAATCATATCGTTACTACTGCACCGATTCAGATGTCTCAGTCAGATGATAGGTATTACAGCATTTTTATTTTTGATACAATGTGCCATTCTGTGTGAGTATTCTTGTAACAGCCCACGATGTTTTCGTCTTTGTTTTTCTATGTTGTACTCTCATTCGATTTATTCCATTTGCATCAAGCATCTTGGTGCATCTTCATTTTTTTGTCACTCTATCAAATTAGCATCAAGACAATGACTAGAAAGATGCACATTTGCAGAACTCGATTGCTTTTATGTGATAATGTTATGAACAAGACACAAAGTAGAATTAAATTTGTGTTTATCTTCACGCCATAAATTTGAACACAAATATATTTTTACTTAAATTAGTTTTGATTATCATAGTTTGTACTAAAATTTGTGTGGAAATAATGGACTGGTGAAAAGTGCTTTATGCTTGATAAGAATGCTTTACAACATTTCATAACAAGTACAATACAAGAGTATAAAAAGTATGATACTCTGTTGTATGAACGCACATTGCGAATTATAATTATAAAATGTTAAATTTAGTGGAGGGTTGACGAAGTCAAGCCCATTGAGGGAACGCAGTCCGGCCCACCTATTGTCTCCCATCAGCATGCCTTCTGCAACCCTCTCTTTTAACAGGTATGGTTCTAACTTCATAAATCGTTTATGTAGCAAAAACGATACAAATAAAGGTACATTTTATGCTTATTGGATGTATTGTTCGTAGACACGAAATATCGAACAAAATCATATGTACGATAAATCATATACCATTAACATTAAATGTGCAAAACGCTTAATCATAATTTTTTTAAATAGCTTGTTTTCTATATGTAAAAATATCAGCAATACCTAATGCTGTTAAATATTTACAAGCTGCGTGCTGTCTTCAGAGAAATATTATTGATCTTTGCCATTAATACATTATATATTGCTATTAATACATTATATATTGCATATGTATACTGATGTAGTTGCTTTGCTATAGATTATAATTGTAATGTGTAACAAATATGTGTATACAGTATACAAATGATTAAAATATAATTTTCACAAGTAGTTTTCTAACATCTAACGTATCCCAAAAAATTATAGCTTCTTATATAATTTTCTTTAAATAACAATTTACTATCCGAAAATAGGTGACCATTTTAATTGTCTCAATGTTTATACGTTATATACGTTAAATATACACATATAATTGTGTTTTTATGTATGTAATTATAGACATGAGTTATTTTTTGTATTTAATGATATCAAGACAATATTGAATTTTATTCTTAATATGTAACATATAAAACTAACTTGTTATATGTTTTATATCTTTATAGTACAATAGGGAATACTCCATCAATAGAGACTAGTGAAAGTGATGCAACAGGTGCCTCGATAACTAGAAGAAGTTCATCTGGTGGATTATTATCACCAGAGGTGGAATTAGGAGGTAAATACATTATCAGTAATATTCATAAAAATAATAAATGGGAATTATTTATAATACAAATAAATTATGTCGTATCGTAACAGTAAAAAGACACCAAATTATGATTTGTTTTTCAAAAACTTTATTCAAGATTATTATTTATTTTTTATACTTACTGAAAACCGTGATAACAGGGCAACCGGGCCAAAAATCTGGAGAAGAACAAGAAGGTTTTTATTTGTTAAAAAAGGATAGTCAAAGGCGCATGACGTTAACGAGGGTTCTCAATCAGGATGAGGCAAAAATTTGTGAAGTTTGGATGAGAGGTATACATCAAGCAGAAGGACAAACAGTGTTGCAGATGGTACTTACTCATTTTGGCATTACATTACATTGCATCTTACATAATTATATCAATGTATATTTAATTATCTATCTCAATTTTAGAGTCATCTAGTGCTGCTCATGCGTGGTTTAAGAGATTACATCGCAGAGCAAAATCAGGATGTGATAGTGACTTCTATTCGAACATTGAAAGAAGAATTAGATTTCGATTCGACAGCTATTAATCACCTACATTTGGCTATTTATTTGTTTCAAACAGCAGTAAACGAAGTCCTCAGAATGCATAGCATAAAGCCACATTGGATGTTTGCCTTGGATAACTTAGTGAGAAATGCTGTTCAAGCTGCTATCACGGTATTGTCACCCGGTAAGCATCATTTTTCTCAACGAAATAAATATGAGGGCGGTACACGTATTCAGCAAGTTATTATCTGTTCGGGAGGTAGAAAAAAAACTACATCTTAGATGTCAAGAAAGATCATTTCCTTAAATTGACCAAGTTCTCACACTCGTACATTATCTGATACATGAACCAGATGTGTAATATATACATGTTACTCTCACACATAGTACACGTGGAGATCAAGTATGTTATCGTGTCAACTCTAAAAATATCTCGAGAGAAAGTCATCACCAATAATAAGGGATCTCTTCTGAACGTCGAGTTCAGTAAGAGGGTTACCTCACTTCGCTTGAGTTCATACATCTGGTTTCAGTAAATTTGATTGAAAATCAATAGACACAAATATATTTCAATTGATTATAATTGTGTATATATCCGAGTGTGATTACAGAGCTATGAGAAATAGTGTTATCTTAAAAAGTGTTTTTTTATGATGAAAATTGTATGTCTAGAATTAGGAGCTAACTTATTGGGACAGGAACGAGTACAACCTGGTGGTCAAGTTCCTGAAGAAGGCTCCACATCATGTGTATCCACAGTAAATTCTGTTAAATCTCCAAAAACTGGCGATTCTATTGATAATAAGTACTGGAAAGAATATAGAGATCAAATGGGAGTGTTGAAAATGGAAAATATGAGATTACTCCAAGAATTGATAGAAAGCCAAAAGTCGTATCAGTCATTATTGCAACAAGTTCTTGAAGAACAGAGAGCACAAGTTGGTACATTGACACATCTGTGTGAAAATATCAATAGGAAAGCAGAGAGACAGGAATTAGGGTACGACTACACTATTGCTTTATTTCTTACTATATATTCAATATGCAAATTTCAAATTAACTTAAAATTATGTGCAATGTGTCATAATTATGAAAGTACATTTTAGATATGATTTACAGGAGTTATAATACAAGCATTGCCGGAAATATATCTCAACAATCGGAGTTTTTAACAACTATGGATACGCGTAACAGTAATAATTTACATTCAGATATGGCCCTCGTCGATTGGTTACGAAATCTGCAGATAGACGAATCATCAGTCGATAGAGTAAGCACTACATAACATATACTAATCATTACGGAACGTCTCTAATTTATCATTTCTTTTCGCATTAAACTCATTTTTACTGGAACTATATTTAACTATTTATTGTTTTTAGTTTTTATATGAAGAATATACACTGGAAGATATTTTGGATCATGTTACAAGAGACGATCTCCGCAGGTTAAATTTGAGGTAACAAAAATTGTGTTCTTAATTTTTAACATTGATAGGACATGTAGATAAGACTATTATGTACAATTCTAGGGGAGGAACTGAAATCAGGATATGGCAAGCTATACTGAAACATCGCGAGAATAATGGAAATTAAATTGCGCAGACTATAATTATATTCTTCCATTGATATTAGCAGCAGATTGTCACTAATCACTAATAGTCGAAGTTTAAAGCAGGGTAAGATATTCGTTGCGATTAGACCGCCACAAGATAAACATATAATGATCTAAATTGATCATGTTGTAATATTAGATATAAATTATGCCTCTATAGAGAGTTTCTTCCGTGACACAGTATACCGGTTCTCTTTGTAGTTCCTACATGTAGGTTAATATTACTTTTTATAGAGAATTTCTGTACGTATTACATCTGCGCGAATGATGATTTAAATTAACAAAATGTATTATATCTTTTAGTGCTTTTGTCGCAGATTTTAATTAATTTGCCAAAGTTCCATGATATCAGAATGTAAGAGAAACCAGTATTTATGTATGGAATATATTTCATGCATGTCACATTGTTTTGTTGTAAGAAATTTTTCAGTTTGAATTTCTAAATTCAATTTCACTTTTACACGTTTGAATTATTAAATCAGAGTCGGTATTAATATTGAAACGGTCAAATAAGTAATAAAAAAAGTTGTGCAAATGCAACTTATTAATGATGCAATAATATTTGATATTATGCTTTGTTCTGTAAAATAATGACGTCCGATAGAAGAAACAGATGCTTCCGATGGTTATTCAAATAAGTGATGTAAGTTATACATTACTTTACAAGGTACTATATATTCACTGCGCTAAATATTTATAAATGAAACTATTTATGAGAAAAAAACTGTAAGATTGCACCATAGACAAACTGCCAGTGAAAAATATTGATTAAAAAGAACTCGTATTTTCACGTGAAATCACATAGTAATGTTAAAATATTAAACAATTATTATACAACATTTAATCTTTGCAAATGGGGACGCAATTATATACATATAGTGCCTTATCAAACTGGCTCTAGTACAAGAAAATATATTTATTATACATAATTAATACGTATTTATACTCCAAAATATTCGAGGGTTTTAAACATTTTTCGTTTTAAAATTTTATGTTCGAGAGGAACGAAAATATACTTGCCCACGCGTCGCAATAACTGGCACGTCTTCCCCACATAGAGATATTACTCGAATGCTTTTTTGTAAATAGAATTCTTCGTGTAGTTTGTAAGCGCTTTACATTATTTCGTTTTTGTCGGACAAATTCAAACAGATTCTTCAGCGTTTCTTCCGAATTTTGTAGATATGAGTTTTTGTATGACAGTAAATCTCTTCTATGCGATATTGTAAAGGAAGGAAAAGATCGATATTTCTTGCGATGCACAATATCTTGTACAGTTTGATTTTTAATATTTTTTATGTATAGTCGAACTGAATTTACGCAATCTAATCTTAAGTATTCTCGATGGATTTCTTTCTCAAAATGACTGTCATCATTTTCATCGAAATCATTGTCTCAATAATATATTGCTTGATTCAGTCCGATTATTCACACACTAACATAGAAGGTATATGATCTAACGACTGACAAAAATTAATTTGATAAAAGATATTTTCATGTAATAATAATAGACTAGAAATAACAGAGCCCCTATCATAATGTGTGTTGGTGCTTGTTCCTGAGTATCTTGACTGAAGTATTTCTGCAATTCTACGCATGAATCTGCTACAAACAATTAAGGAAATAAACTTCGGAACAAGTAGCCAAAGCTATTGTTGAATATTTTTCACTCACATTTAAAACAGGATTAATTATTGTTGCTCGCATGTGCGATCGTTTGTAATAAAGGAATAAACAAATGTTTATGTTATTATTTGTTATGGCTGCTCAAGAGAATTTCACTTATGAAA